TTTTCAAAGTAACTTGCCCAACACTGATAAGTCATAGTGCTTGTTTGGTTATAACTAGATTCTTTCTTTTTTCCACAGACAGTTCATCAGTATCCGTTTGACCTGCCTCCCAATGTGATCTCCCCCTTGCTGACAGACCCCGCTATAGGCCTGCTAAAGCAAAATGTCACCCCGGAGGAGAACCAGCTGTGGATGTTTCTGGGAGAGTGTTGGAATATCTCCAGGTGAGGCAGCTTTAACAGTCCTCTAACACTTTTACTAGTCTTTTTATCAAGCTTTGAACGTTCTCATATATAGCCCTTTAACTTTAACTACACTTATACCTTCCCTGGCACGCCCTAACTTGTTGTGGGCCGTGTCTGTTTGCATGTGCTGTATTCAAATTGATTCCTGTGTGCAAAAAGTGTTTAATTTGGAATAACCAATGTAAAACATAGAAATACTAAGAAAGAACCATTCCTTGTTTTCTGAATGACTCATGGATTCATTTTTAGTCAGAAGAGCTTTACGGTTGCTAAGTTGTGAAAATAAACTCAGACTCTGTGTTTATGCTCATCTGGAAGGACACCTGCAGCTGAGAATCATGTTCAAAGTTCAACAACCTCTTTAACATTTACAGCGAAAGACTTGAGGGATTGTTGTGCAACTTGTTGTTTACCAGTTTTTTAACCACAGGCTTGACTTTTATTACAAATGAGAAATGGTTCACAAATATTTAAAGATTACTATTAGTCCGACTACACTCAGCCAAATGCCTCACACACAACCCGAAGGTTCTCTATTATTTATTTATTTACTGCTGATTTATGCACTATGAATAAATGAGTAATAAATAATATAAATAATTTTATATTATGGTAAACAAGGAGAACACAGTATAAAAAAAGTACCTTGCATTCATGAAGCTGTATTTTAAAACATGGATTTGAGCTTTACAGTTGTTGATGGAGCTAAAAGCGACCATACTTGGCCAAGAAAGTATTTCACTATTTTTTTTTTAAGTTATCAAATTCATTTGTCAGCTAATTGTAATGAAAATTATTTAAAAGGCACCAACAGCACAAACATGTTTGAGAGGCCCGGTTCAGTTGTCTAGCAGATATATTTAAAATTTTAAACAGATGGTTAATAAAAATAAAATAAATATCAAAAAGTAGCTTGTGCAACCTATTTTTTTTTTTTTACCAGGTTGTATAAGTGTTATTTTCATGGATGAAGTTGTGCATTTTATAATTCCTGTCCTCTGTTTCACTTGCAGGTCTCGATGGCCGGACGATAACGTCCCAGATTACATCCCAGAGTTCTATGATGGCTGGCAGCCCCCTCCGCCCCCTCCTCTCCCATCCCCGTCGCTTTTTCAGAACGGTCCAATGAGCAGAAGCAACAGCCAACGCTTCCCAGGCCGACCGACGCTGCGGCAGCCAGACGAGGTACGAACTTATTATGACCCCCTGGTTCATCCTTAACAAAGGAGCTCATCAAACAGTGTAGCATACCTGGGTGTGAACTCAAAGTATTGCAGCAGTCATGCCCTTTAAAACTTCTTTTTGTTTCCGTGCTGATGCTTAATTGTTATGCTGTAGCTCCATCTGCTTTAGGAATTGGTTTGGTAATGTGTTTATAGCCTGGTAGATTAGCAGATTGCTTTGAACTGTTGTTTTGCTTACCTGAGTTTGTCTCCTAAACCAACTGCACAATCTCCACTAAGTGGTTGTTTGAATTGTAGTCACTTCTGCCATCTGGCACTCAGCACCTTTAAATCTAAATTTTCATGGCAACAGAAAAACAATATCGCCAATGAGGCCATCATCAAGAGGTTTTTCAGTTAATCCTGGTGTATTTTATGACTTTTACAGCTTATGGGCAACAATCCATGGGGTCCATCACCTCCACCAGCACCGTAAGTGTATACCCAGCACTTTTTCCTCCGATTTTATGCACTGCCAATACGAAGTGTATTTTGTCTGCTGCTCTTTCAGCTCCAATGAACCACCCCAGAGCATGCGTGTCATTTACAACTTCATGGCCAGAAACAACCAAGAGCTGAGTGTTATGAAGGGTGAGGTGGTTGAGGTAAGATCACAAATATTATTCAACAACTGCAAATACAAAATTTATTCTTACCTTGTCCAACACAGTAAAAGGATTGTCTCTAGCTTTAAATAAAAGCAGGATCTGTAGTGTTTATGTGATGTAGACTGTTTTACATCATTGAAATTTAAGAAAACAGAGTAAAAAGCAAACCTTCATTTACCGGGAACTGGATGAGGATTTTGTTTTAGGAATATACCATCACTCTGAGGGGATCTGGATTATCAGATATGATTAGCAATGTAATGCAACAGTAATTTGGGGCATTGTGAACTTAAATAAAACTTAAATTAAAAATGTGCTGTAGATAACTTTTTCCAGCTCCAAAAGAAGAAAAAGGGGAACTGCAGATCTTTTCAATTCCTTCCAGCCTTTCAGCCACTGTATCACATATTTTCCAACCAGTATTGTAACTATTGTGAACCTTATAGAGGAAATTAAAATGCAAAACTAGAATCTGAAATAACTCTAGCAAACACTGCAGCTGCAGCACAGAATGACTGACAGATAAGATTAATATTTCTTTAAGCTTGTAGTTTCTTTGCCAAAATCCAAAGTATTTGAGATATTTGGATTTGGATCTTTCACAGGTGATCCAGAAAGCAAAGCAGTGGTGGCTTGTTCGTAACGCGCGTAACCAGGAAGGGCATATTCCTCTGAATGTTTTGGAGTCGTCAGGGAACCCCGGACCCATGGACGACCTACCGGTGAGCTGAGCCGCAAGCAACCTGGGAACCCATCAACAATTATCTG